TAATGTAAATTGAAATGAAAATAGAAAATGCATATGACGTCAGAATTTGCAAGATAAAATTGTTACCAGTTATACAATAATTAGGTGCGTTTATGTATATTGTACTAATAGATATCAGTGTAATCTAGGATGTACGCTTCATCTTAGTTGAAACTAACCATTTGGATGTATCCGAATATCATTGTTTCTATTTCCACAAAGACTTGACTTACTTAATTACGCCTGTTACTCCTAATGGAGCATAGGCCACCGACCAGCATTCTCCAACCCACTCTGTCCTGGGCCTTCTTTTCTAGTTCCATCCAATTCTTGTTCATTTTTCTCATGTCTATCTCCATTTCTCGGCGTAATGTGTTCTTTGGTCTTCCTCTTTTCCTTTGGCCTTCAGGATTCCATGTGAGGGCTTGTCTTGTGACGCAGTTGGGTGCTTTCCTCAATGTGTGTCCTATCCACTTCCAGCGCTTCTTCCTGATTTCTTCCTCCGCTGGGATCTGGTTTGTTCTCTCCCACAGTACGTTGTTGCTAATAGTGTCCGGCCAATGGATCTGAAGTATTTTGCGTAGACAACTGTTAATAAACACCTGTATTTTCTGGATGATGGCTTTCGTAGTTCTCCAGGTTTCTGCCCCATACAGTAGAACTGTCTTGACATTTGTATTGAAAATCCTGACCTTGGTGTTGGTTGACAGTTGCTTTGAGTTCCAGATGTTCCTCAGTTGTAAATATGCTGCTCTTGCTTTGCCGATCCGCGCCTTCACATCTGCATCAGATCCACCCTGTTCATCAATGATGCTGCCCAAATACGTAAAGGTTTTTACATCTTCCAAATCTTCTCCGTCAATTGTGATTGGATTGGTGCATTCTGTGTTGTATCGGAGAATTTCCCTTTGTGTATATTGAGACCTACTGCTGCTGAGGCTGCTGCCACACTTTCGTCTTCTCCTGCATCTGTTGTTGCGTTTGGGATAGAAGGGCCAGATCATCTGCGAAGTCTAGATCGTCCAACTGCATCCTAGATGTCCATTGTATCCCGTGCTTCCCTTCAGACGTTGACGTCTTCATGATCCAGTCGATCACCAGGAGAAAGAGAAAGGGTGAGAGTAAGCAACCTTGCCTAACACCGGTCTTCACTTCGAACGACTTTGTCAACTGTCCTCCATGCACGATTTTGCAGTGTAATCCATCATATGAATTCTGTATGATATTGACTATCTTCTGAGGCACGCCGTAGTGTCGAAGAAGTTTCCATAGTGTTGTTCTGTCCACGCTATCAAATGCCTTTTCGTAGTCAATGAAGTTGATGTAGAGTGATGAATTCCATTCAATTGATTGTTCCACAATGATCCGTAGAGTTGCGATTTGGTCTGTACACGATCTATCCTTACGGAATCCTGCCTGTTGGTCACGAAGTTGGGCGTCTACGCAGTCCTTCATCCTGTTTAACAATACCCTGTTGAAGACTTTTCCCGGTATTGAGAGAAGAGTGATGCCCCTGTAGTTATCACACTTGCTGAGATCGCCTTTCTTCGGTATTTTGATCAGAAGTCCTTCTTTCCAGTCTGTTGGTACTTGTTCCTCATCCCAAATCTTATTGAAGAGAATGTGGAGTATCCTTGCAGTTGCCGCTACGTCTGCTTTTAGTGCCTCTGCTGGATGTTGTCCGGTCCTGCTGCTTTGCCACTCTTGATTTGTCTGATGGCCATGCTGATTTCTTCAATTGTTGGTGGGCCAACATTGATTGGGAGGTCCGTGGGTGCTGCTTCGATGTTGGGTGGGTTCAGTGGGGCTGGTGTTCTACCCACCTGTTTTGTTGCTCTTCAATGTTGGTGATTACCTCGCCTTCCTTGCTTTTCACTGGTCGTTCTGGTTTGCGGCGATTTCCAGAGAGTTTCTTTGTCGTGTCATACAATTGTCTCATGTTTCCTTCTCTTGCAGCCTTTTCCGCCGTCGTTGCTAAATCTTCCACATATTTACGTTTGTCGGTTCTGATGCTCCTCTTCACTTGTTTGTTTACTTCTGTGTATTCAGCTTGTGCCTTGGCTTTTTCTGCTCTTGTTCGACTGGTATTGATTGCTGCCTTCTTGTTCCTCCTTTCTTGAATCTTATCCAGTGTATCAACAGTGATCCATTCCTTGTGATGGTGCTTCTTGTGACCCAGGACCTCATGACATGTTGAAGTGATTGCCTCTTTGATCCCCTTCCAGTTGCTCTCCACAGTAGTTCCTTCTCCATTGAGTAGATCATGAAAGGCCTGGAACTTGTTGCTGAGGACTATCTTGAATTTGTTGAGTTTGTTAGTATCCTGAAGAAAGGCCGTATTGAACTTTTGTGATATTGTCCGCCCCGTTGTCCAGTGCTTCTTGAGTTTCAATTTCATCTTGGCGACCAGCAAGTGATGATCTGATGCTATATCAGCTCCTCTCTTGGTTCTCACGTCCTCTATAGTCCTCCTGAACGTTTTGTTGATGCAAATATGGTCGATTTGGTTTTGGTGGTGTGATCCGGTGAAGTCCATGTGGTTTTGTGTATGCGTTTATGTGGGAATATGGTGCCGCCTATGACCAGTTTATTGAAGGCACATAGATTTGCAAATCTCTCACCATTTTCGTTCTTTCTCCCAGTCCGTGTCGTCCCATGATGTCTTCATATCCAGTGTTGTCCGTTCCAACCTTGGCGTTGAAATCTCCCATCAGAATGGTCAGGTCCTTTGTTGGGCACTTCTCGACGATTGACTGCAGCCTATTGTAGAATTGATCTTTAGCGTCTTCATTGTAGTCGTTGGTAGGCGCATAGCATTGGATGATGTTCATTGAAATGCCCTCTTTCTTTGTTTTGAACGAGGCTTTGATGATCCTTGGTCCATGAGATTCCCATCCTATAAGTGCATTTTGCGCTTGTTTGGACAGCATCAATGCAACTCCTTGTGTATGTGGTGCATTTTCTTCTTCATGGCCGGAGTATAACAGGAGCTCTCCTGTAGTTAGTCGTTGTTGTCCAACTTGTGTCCAATGTGTTTCACTGATCCCAAGTACCTCTAGGTTGTATCTTCTCATTTCTGCAGCAATTTGGAAGGCTCTCCCGGTGTCCCACATTGTACGAACATTCCATGTACCTAAATAAATGGTCGCTCTGGTTGTCAGAAGGGGCATCGGCCTCGTAACTTCCGAAGGAATTCGGCTTTCATCATGAGGCGTCATAATTCTTCTAAATGAAGACCTTCTGACTCCCAGGGCAGAGTTTAAAAGGTTTGAATAATTTTTTCTGGTTAGCGAGTTAGTTTTCTACGGGATGGGGACGCTAACCCCATGCCCAACCCTCCTCCTTTATCCGGGCTTGGGACCGGCAGTAGCCCCCGGAGGGACTCCAGGCGGAGTTGGTATATGTATAACCTTTTTAATAGATTCTCTGAAAATATCATAAATATTGGACATTTTTTTTTGCCACATGGGCCCAGCAACTGTAGCGATTGTTGCTTGGTTCAAGTTTCATCATAAATATTAACATTAGAATGTCGTCAAATCCAGACGATCAGGACTAAATACGATGAAATCAGTGTTCTGGATAGTATGACTAATAACAGAGTAAAAATTGACTGGTAACAAGAGTAAGTTAAGTTTAATGTGACACAAATAATTCAATATTCAATACTATGAGTGTGGTGTGTGCTACTGATGTCGATAGATATTAGTAGGATATATAATCAGTTGAAAGTGAAATGCCTGAAGGCAGAAGATTAAAACGATCAAAAAAGAGAATGATTGATGTGGAAACGGAGGAATAATGAAGTCTGAGATGATTGACTATTATTTTGCAAATGAAAAATTCATTGTATAGTTTTTAGATTTTATTAAGATATTCGGTAATATTGTGTTAAAATACTGTTATATCTTGTGACTGTAGATTAGAGTACAGCGTATTATCGATCGGACCAAAGACGCTTAAAACACGTGAGAACAACCTAGAGTCCTGATTGGTCCTGCTTTCCTGTCTAGCCCAGCCAGTTTAGTCCGGAACACAAGTCTCAGCCTCTGAGATATGAATCATTATATTTCAAACATACTGAGTTTATATACCAAACAAACCGATCACAACGTCACAATAAAATATGAAACAACATTTGTACAAGAATTAGCCAGATGTGGCTGTGAATGAGGGAGGTAGAGATTAACAGACAGGGAATAATTCATGAATGGTAAAATGTATATTAATGGTTCATAGGTCAAAATAAAGCTTATAGTAAGAGGAACACGAATATAAATAGCTTAGTTATTTAATAATTATACAATAGAAATATACGTTTAGTATTGGTCCATAAAGGATCCCAAAGTTATCATTCATTATGTTTCTCGGGTCCCAACAAATACATTTGGTTATCCCTACCTGTATTCTTGTTTACTACATAAGTACCCTCAATCCATTATAATTTTATATATTCTGACAATTTATTTTACTCCCCCCTACCATCTTTTCTTTCCATCAATTTGTAAATCTCATTTCACAAGTTGAAATCATGAGTCTATTGAAGCTAGACCACCATGAAAAACCTGGAAGCACTGGACGGCCGTTTCGTCCTGGTACGGGACTCCTCAGCAGTGCGCATCCACGACCCCGCACCTCGCGGGATTCGAACCCAGGACCTACTAGGTTCGCGCGTGAGCACTTAACCATTAGACCACTGAGCTGGCATCCGATCGTGTTAATGTCTAACTTCAACCAATCCACGAAGTTGCGCCTCCGTACACCATCGTCTTCAGTGAGTTCCTATCACACAACAGACTTGGTTAAACTCCATTGGTAACGACTTCTCACTAGAACTCCAGGAGTGTCTCCTGAAGTCAGTCACTTGTGAGCAGGTGATTATTATTATTATCAGAATGGGTTTTGTGGAGATTTTTAGAAATTTCACAAGTTGAAATCATGAGTCAATTGAAGCTAGACCACCTCATTTACCAAATAATTATTCTTTTTTTTTTTCTTTCGCCCTCTCTCTCTTTCTCTAGATTATCGAAAAAAATTCCAATCAATTAAGTGTTAAAGAGAATAATGTGGTTTTACGCGAAAAACCTACAAAACATAAAGCTCAGTGTTGTCATCATTAAATCAATCATTTTGATTTCTAAGAAAAAAAAAGAAAAAGAAAAAATTATTGATTCAAAAAAAAAGAAAAGAACATTTTTTTGTTGTTGAAACAATAAACATGCTATTTGTAAATGTTATGTAATATGAATCCACATTGAAACAATGTTCAATGATCAGTGATATTGAAACTATTGATCATTTAATACATTATATGTAGATGATAATTTAAACACATAAGAAATAGAAAACATTCACTTGGTGATATTGTATTCTTGTATCTATTTTTTATGTTATAAAGTTTGTGATTTAACAGAATATCGAAGTAATATACACAGTATGAATAATATGCCAATAAGAGATTGAAACAATTAGTCCCTTTGATAAATTTCGATAATGTAATTAGAAGACGAAGATTATCAGAACTATGTGAGGAAATATTAGCGCAATACATTTCGAACAATCTGATCACACATGTACATGTTAAGAGCATTTATATATAAAAATAAAAGGTCAATTAGACTGGGAATGGGGGTAAGAGGAGATAAGGATAATGATAATAATGTGAACACAAAGCGAAACCTAATCACTATGGATAATAAGTCAATATTACCAGGGTAGGTTTAAGGTAAGAACAAACTGTTTTTGAACACACAAAGGGGGTTTGAATTTTCGTATAGCTTCAATAAACCTTAGTATACACCCTTTTACACTTTTGTACAAGACTACCTGTTTCAATTATATGTTTAGCAATAGAGGATGATGGATATTTATCCTCTGCTCTTATTGGGTCACTTGATTGTATTTGTTTCTGCAGCCATTTGGGTAGATGTTCACTCACCCTAATGTTGAGATCACGATTGCTCCTCCCTATGTATGTGTGACCACACACACATTTAAATTGGTAAACACAGTGGGATGTGACACAATCGTTTTCATGTCTTAGGTTTTGGATGAAGCATGGACCTTGTTCTTTCTTTGATAATGAGCTTTGCTGCGCAATACGTTTTATTGATGACTGATTTAAGTCTTTGTTTCAATAAAAGGCTATTTGAATCACCTCTGAATGGTAAGGTGATGTAGACAGGCTTTTTCTCTACCGAGGCTACAGTAGGTCTCACTGTACCATGGACTTTCCATCTATTTATGAATTTCAGAGGATAGCCATTTTCTATTAATGTTTTATTTAACAACTTAACATCATCATCAATGGCGTCATTTGTACAAATACGGTCGAGTCTGTTTAAAAGACACCTTATCAAACCACGTTTGTATTGCACAGAGCAATAATTATAATAATTAAGATCGCTTGACTGAGCCATCTTCTCGTCTACTCACATAGTTCTGACAATCTTCGTCTTCTAATATCATTATCGAAATAAGAGATTGATTAATTATAGTCCTAGACATTCATGAAAAGTATCAAGTAAACTATACCAAGTGAATTTCAACTTCACTCCTATTGCATAAGCGCGTGATTATCAGGATTCAATGGTTATGTGGATAACGTGATGGTGTTCGAAGTGGACGGTATTAGGTTTGAGTACTGGATTAAACATCAGTTGTGAGATGCAGGTACATTCAGCTGACCAGTCCCAAATAGGGCAAAACACGCATTCTGGATTCCACTGTTAGAGACTATCCATCTTTGCTTACAATAATTATACAGTCAATGAAATACTTTATATAACCGATTATCAATACTTGATAGATAGATAAACCAGTGACCATTACCAGACTTCTTAATTGATAGTATTGATATAGAATACATGTTACACTTTTCTGTCCGAATTTAATGAAATTCATTCATATTTTTATGATAAACAAAAGTGATTCACTCTGAGATTTTATCTAATTTGAAAGATCAGTTAAAGCGATCTTGTGTAGATGCTTAGATGATGATCACACAACTACTTATTATTTCATGGTTTTTGTTGGCTCTCTATCAGCTGACATTAATTCGAGGTGGGGTGGGGAACATTATCTCCACCTTATACAAAATTATGACAGTTTATTTTCGTGTTCTTGTTGTATTCTGTCATCTGAACATAGTTTAACTCTGACGTTTTCATTGTTGCTTTAAATAACAACATCTTTGGAGCATACAATACATACATGGGTTACAAACACATCTCCTTGTACTATGAATCTTCTCCAGTATAAAGCAAACTGTTTTAGTAGGCATATGCGTGTACTCATTGTCGATAATTACAGAATAAGGGTTTTCTTGTTTACAGTAATAATACTATCCATACTAATGATATCCTGATAGTCTTAGGCTATTAATTTCATCTTAGACATTTTGTCTAAATTTCATATGAATGATAATATGTTCATGTAGATATATGTTAGATAACTATGTACTGTTACGTCCACTACTTGATTAACGCAGAAATACGATATACACCTAAAAGCACTCGAGTGTATAGAACCTTCAAACAGCCGCATATCAGAAGACATAAGTGATTATTGGGTAAGAATGAAAAATGTACAAAATAACATGTGTATTTATAGTAATTAGCGCTGGCTATAAAATCATCATAATTCAGTCAATCCTCAAAGCGTCATGCTACAGTCCAATTATAGCATACCACGTTGATATTCCAGTAGGCACTACCAGGCTCTGATTGAATGAAAACTCTACAGCTTCTTTAGAGCCTCTGCAGGCATCGTCGTGCTTTTAGGAAGCCATTCCAACAAGTACCTAATTAAATTATTTTGTCATAACCCATAACGAATTAGATTGGATTTCAAAATATCATTAGAGATGATTGAAAACTTAACCATTTTGACTATAATAGATTTTACGGACGCCGATACAAAGCTTCAAATAAGTTGTATTGGGATATTCAGGATAAATATCAGCAGTACTAATATTAATCGGTGATAAATAATCATGAGAAAGATAGTAGTCTTGGTGAAGTAGAATCTTTATTCAAGGAACAAGTTACTAATCGATCCATTAAATGCTGAAACTGAGGCCAGTAAAGACTGGTTATGTTATCGAATCAAAATTGTTTTTTTATGGTGGTATACCAGTCTTATTTGGATAAAAAATTCCAGTATTTAGGATTCTAATTCATCATCACACATTTTAATGTCATTAAATAATCCAAAATGGACCCCCCATGAGGTTTGAGAATGGAAAGGAGTAGCATAGTGCTTAGTTTGGTGAGTAAAAACAGTGGTCTATCATTCTAATTGAATTACAGGGAGACGATGAAATAATAAGTTACCAAGGGTGGAAATTATACATAATCACAAAAAAACTTGCGTCAATTATTACCTGGAAAAAGGCGGTTCATGAAGGTTAGGTTAGTTCAAGATGGTATGTGTTTAATTACAATAAGATTGGTCTTTTTTAGTTACTTTTGTAACAGATCACCCTGGTGGTTAAATTCATCATGCAAGCTACATGGAGTTCGTTGTGTTCGCCCCCCCCCCCAATTGTGTTGCGGTATATATATTTTATGGGGTACTAAACTGTCTATTATAAATGAAACGACTAACAACTCTCATAATCATAATAAACAAAAGTCCTATGTTTATCAATGACAGTCTTCCTGAATAAGATAAGGATATGAGTGATGAGAACTTGAGTAGGTACAAAATAGATATCCTCTAATACTGTTCCTCGTTTATAACCACTCATCTACCATCTAACTTTGAGATGAGATATGACCACATGCACATGATGTATCTATACTCCGACGAACCTATCAGAGTTAACTTTGTTGATAAGTGTGAAAACTTAACCACCAGACCACTGAGCCGGCCGACATCCAACGGTGTTAATGTCTAACTTCAACTAATTCACGAAATTAGGCGACACATCCACCATTACCATTAGTGAGTTACTATCTCACAACTAACTCGGTTGGTGGATGTGTCGCTCAATTTCGTGGATTAGCTGAAGTTAGACGTTAACACCATTAGATGCCTGTCAGATCAGTGGTCTAGTTGGTTAAGCGCCTGACGCGAGACTAGTACGTTCTGGGTTCGAATCCCGCGAGGCGGGGTCGCGGATGTGCACTACTGAGGAGTCCCACAATAGGACGAAACGGCCGTCCAGTGCTTTCAGGCTTTTCATGGTGGTCTAGCTTCATCTGACTCATGATCTCAACAACTGGAATTACTAAAATCTCCACAAAACCACCTTCTGATAGTATTAAAATAATGATCAATAGTTGATATATGAACAAAATCATTTTAACTTATCATTGGTTACAATCAAGTTCAAGATTTAATTGAAACAAACTGTACACAAATCTTTTCAAGGTTATTACATTACTAATAAAAGAAATGAACATGTCAATAACTTCTTAGGAAGATTGTCATTTTCGTATAATCCATACTATCTAGTTATATAATTGTAGTAGTGTGATGTGTACTACTGATATCGGCAAATATAAGTAGTATGTATCAACAATCGAAAGTGAATTACCTGGTGGCAGAAGGTTAAGAAGATTAATGAAAAGAGAATGAGAACAGAGAATGATTGGTATGGAAACGAAAGAATAATGAAATCTGAGACAACTGATTGACATTTTGCAAATAGAGTGTTTAATGTATGGTTCTCAGAGTTTATTAAGTGGTTATGGATTTAACTGACTGAAAGTACCAAAGTTTTAGACTAAAATGAAAATCATAGGATTAATGAACAAAATGTTGATAATAAAATAAGCAATGTTGTTGAGATCACGGTTCGATATAGGTTGAATAACCAATGAAAACCTGGAAACATTGGATAGGTGCTTTGTTCTACATTCAAGTTTGAATATAGGAGATTTGTAATTATTGTTCATCTGAAACACAGTGTTTTCTAAGTGTAATTTCAATGAATTCGCTTTCTTTATTGGACTCATCAGTAGTATCAACCTCTCTTTTTGATAAGTCGTGCAAATTGAATGCTATATTCGTTTCCTTAGCTATTCTGTAACCCCCAAGCTAGAACTACCCAGCGACCTGAACAACGAGAGAGAAGACGCAAAGTATGCGAGAAGTACTTTACTCCAAGGTTCAT